AAAAGAACCAGATGAGTTTGTTGTTTAAACAAAAACTGTGTTCTAAAACATAGATGTAGATACCCATCTTGGTGAAATGGAATGTCCTTCTCACTCAGATACTATGAGCTTGCTTCATGAAAGCATCTGAATCTGAGAATAAAGCACTATTACTCTGCAGTAATTGTTACTGTTTTGGAGTTTGTGGTCCATTGCATGGGAATGTGCTTGTTTAAATTTGTTGGGTGTGATTTAACAAACTCATAGTGCAAAAAAAACCCCAGCAGTATATTCAAAGGAACAGTCAGAATAATTTTAAGTCAACATCTATTGCATTGGATTTGTATGCTGCTTCCATTAAAATGAAGCATCATCTGATGGTAAGAAAACTAGCATTAAGTTCTTGTCAAAAAGACTTGAGAAGCAGTGGTTATGAATGCATTCTATTAAGACAGAAAAGAAGATAAGGGCTTCCTTTTAATAGGTCAAGTAATGCAGAAACACCTTTTGGGTTTACAAAAAACAATAACGGATTTCCAACGATACCATTCTATGCATGTGGTGTAACCTAGATCAAGACTTGTTTCTGAAAAGGAAAAATATAAATAAAAATATTGCTGTATGCTAAATTTGCCAAACTGCAGGTGGGGCCTGGAAATCTCTTGGGATTACAACTGATTTCTTGGTGACAGAGATCAGTTCATCTGGAGAAAACAACCTCTTTGGAAGGTGGACTGTATGACATTATACCCCATTGAACAAAGACCTTCCCTCCCCAAATCATGCCCTCCTAGGGTTGCCAGGTCTGGATTGGGAAATACCTGGAGATTTTGGGGGTGGGGACTGGGGAGGTTGGGGTTTGAGGAAAGGAGGGATCTTAGCAGGGTATACTGCCACAGAGTCCATCCTCCAAAGCAGCAATTTTCTCCAGGGGAACTGAGCTTGATTGTTTGGAGATGAATTGTAATAGCAGGTGATCTCCAGGTGCTACCTGGAGCTTGGCAACCCTATGTCCTCCTCAAACTACCCCCCCAGAACCTCCAGGGATTTCTCAGCCCAGAGCTGGCAGTCCTATTTCTGTAGGAATATATATGCTGCTGTTACATTACCTTGAAACAGTTCTTGGCCTGGTTTTTGAACTGGGATCATTACTCACAAACTTGCACACTGATCCTCTAAGGTCTACTAAAATAAAGTAAAATAAAAGTTAGCTTTATGCTGACTGAAATTTCTTAAGGATCATATGTTAATTAAAGTATGTATCCATAAAATTCTTTCATACTCACCACAAGATGGCCTTAATTACTTAAGGAAAGTAGCATGCATGCATGGATGGAGGTAATAAATTCTACTATAGAAAGATTAGAATGCAAAACAAGATGTTGGGTGGATGCAAGACATAGTGCTGTAAATTTTAGGGTTGCCAACCTCCAGGTAGAGACTTGTGTTCTCCCAGAATTGCAACTGATCTCTGGACTACAGAGATCTGTTCCTTGGAGAAAACTACTGCTTGGGAGGATGGACTCTACAGCATTATAGGCTGCTGAGGTCCCTCCCCAAACCCCACAGTCTCCAGGCCCCATCCCAGCTCCTCCCCCAAATCTCCAGGAATTTCTGGAACTCGAGCAGACAACCCTAATTCTCCTGGAGAAAATTGCAGGTTTGAAGGGTGGACTGTATGACATCATACTTCTGCTAAGCTTTCTCCCCTTCCCAAACCTCACCCTTCCCAACCCAGAGTGGGCAACCCTAATTGTGATGAAGTTTACAGTATGACAAACCAAGTACTTCCAAGCACCCAGTAGGGAAAATCCTTACTATTTGGGGGCAGAGTTCAGTTTTTTTCAGCAGGGATGTGATGCCAAGAATCCACCCTCCAAAGGTGCCATTTTGTCCAGGAAAACTGATCTCTGCTGTCCAGAGATCAGTTGCAATTCCAGGAGAACTCTAGGCTCCACCTGCAATTTGGCAACCTTAGCACCCAGCAATGTTTTAATTTATATTTTTCCCTTTCAGAAACAGGCCTTGATCTAGGCTGTATCTGTATGTGAGCACATAGTATGAGGTACTATAGCCCAAGAACTACAGTTGCAAAGCTTGTTTGGGCATGTTGAACTAGTTGAGGTGCTTTTTGAATCCCACCCATGGTGTCATTGGAACTCTCTTGCTGTTTATTGTACATCCTAAAGGCGTTTCTACATTGCTCGACCTATGGAAAGGCAGTAATACTGAAAGCAAGACAGTTTGCCATAGATAGGTGTTCAGACTACTCCATCATGTTTCGTTTCCAGTTTGTCTATGTAGAAAATCAGTAGTTCTAAAGAACAGGTATGTGCTTTCTGAATTAGGCAATGGAGAAATAAGTTCCATGGATTTCAATGGGGCTCACTCCCAAAGAAATCTGTAGAACCACAGCCATGCAGTCTCATCAGAAGTACTGTGAAATGTCACCTCAAGATCACAGTATTTTTTCCGTTGTCTGCTCTGAAACACTAGATCCATGCCTGCATCTAAATTCTTCTTTTTATTCTATGCTCCAAGTGGTAGGTGGAGGCAGGAATTAAGGCTGCTAAGTCCCACCGGCGGGTGGGGATCCCCCTGCTAAAAGGGCCCCCAATCCGCCGGTCCAGTTCCGGTGTGGGGGGGGAACCCCACCCTCAAAGTGGCCAAATCAGGCCAACATGCCCGGCACGATGATGTCACCTGGAAGTGACATCATCACGCTGGGCAAGGAAGTGAAGGCATCACGCTGGGTGATGCTCTGGTAATTGCCCTAAAAACTCTATGGTACCATAGAGTTTTTAGGGCAATTACCAGAGCATCACCCAGCGTGATGCCTTCACTTCCTTGCCCAGCGTGATGATGTCACTTCCGTGCCCAGTGTGATGATGTCATTGCGGCATGCACGCTTCGAGCTCACGCAAAGACTCCCGGAGAGGGCCCTGGACTCCCTCGCTATTACTTTGGTAAGGCTTGGCAACCCTAGCCGGAATGGCAAATACTAGTTTTGACTGAAGAGGAAAAAGGGGGTGGGGTGGGAAGTCTGATGAAAAGGATAAAGTGCCTGATGAAACACAGCTGGCTTCATTGGGCATCAGGCATTTTAAAACAATATTTCTATTGTTTTATTTCTATTTTGCAGCCCTCGAAATTGTGCTAACCAGTGGCAGTCAGTGAACTAAATTCAGATAAAAATAATTAGTAATG